CAGAAGAATAGCCCTGTAATAATAAAAGAAACTAAGTCTGTAACTAATACCTTTCCCACAGTTTTACTAGTAAAATCTATGAAACACTTAAAGAAATAATAATTTTAAATAGATTGCTTCAGAAAATGGAGAACAGCATTTCCAAACTCATTATATGAAGTCAACATTACCCAGATACCAAAAACAGAAAAAGATTTTACAAGAAAATAGTATTTCCAAAGCCCTAATTAATACAGACAGTACTCTTTAACAAAATGGCAAATCTGATGTAGTAATATATAAAAGTATAATGCAACACATGAAGTATAGAGTATCATGTAGAGTTTATCACAGAAATGCAAGGATTGGTTTCACTTGGGAAAATCAATCTGTGTAATTCACCATGTTAACAGAATAAAGAAAGGAGAATTATCTTGTGATTATTTTGATGAGTGCTGAAAAAGCATTTGATAAAATAAAACATGCATTTGATAAAAAAAAAAAAACTCTTAGAAAAACAGGAACAGAAGGGAACATTCTCAGCTTGAAAAGAGCATCCATGAAAAAAAGTAGTATTAACATCATATTATAAAGTGAATGAATGAATGGTTTTCTTCTAAAACTAGGAAGAAGGAAAGGGAATTTACTTTCACCATTTCTATTTAATGTTGTCCTGGAGGTCCTAGCAGAGCAATAAGGTGAATAAAAATAAATAGATGTTTAAAATGAAACATCCTGGGGTGCCTGGGTGGCTGAGTCAGTTAAGCGTCCGGCTTTGGCTCAGGTCATGATCTCACGGTCTATGAGTTCAAGCCTGGCATTGGGCTCTGTGCTGACAGCTTGGAGCCTGGAGCCTGCTTGGGATTCTGTGTCTCCTTCTATATGTGCTCCTCCCCCACGTGCACTCTGTCTCTCTCTCTCTCTCAAAAATATATAAACATTTAAAAAAATAATATGAATGAAATGTTTTTATTTATGGACAATTTGATTAAGTAGGTAGAAAATCCAAAGGATTCTCCATATAAGCCTCTGAATATAATATATAAACTTAGTATGTTTTCAGACTACAAGGTCTACACAAATATTAGCAATAAAACATTATATAACAAACATTTTTAAATACCATTCATGATAGCATCCAAAGTATTAAAATATTTAGGTCTAAGTTGAGCATAAAGAATATAAACCCTATACATAGAAAACTACAAAACACTGTTGAGAAAAATTATAGAAGAACCAACTAATATAAAGATATACCATGCTCAAGGATTAAAAGATTTGTTGTTAAGATGTCAACTGACCCCAAATTGATCTATAAATTCACTGTAATCCCAATCAAAAATCCCAGTCGACTTACGTTTTTTCCTTTTTTTTTTGCATCTGACTTCAGCTCAGGTCATGATCTCATGGTTCTTGAGTTAGAGCCCCATATTGGGCTCTGTACTGAGAGCAGGGAGCCTGGAACCTGCTTCAGAATCTCTGTTTCCCTCTCTCTCTGCCCCTCCTCTGCTTGTGCTCTGTCTCTCTCTGTCTCTCAAAAATGAATAAATTAAAAACAAACAAACAAAAAAAGAAATTGACAAATCTATTCTAAATTTCCATGGAAATGCTAAAATCAATGTCAACCATTATATTACCTGATATCAAGCCTTTCTACAAAGCTACCACAAAAAAGACAGTGTGGCGATGTCATAAGGAAAGATAAAGCAATGGATGGGAAAAAAGAGGATAGAAAAGGACACACACATGATTATTTTTGACATAGGAGGTGACTGGGAAAGGGTGGACTTTTCAATAAATGGCGCTGGAACAACTGGATATCCATACACATGGTAAAAGATAAAGACTGCAGTTCACCTCATACAAAACACAAATTTAAATCACAATGGTTAACAGAAAAAGACCTAATAGAAAAAGCTAAAATAATAAAATTTTACAAGAAAACATATAAAATCTTTGTGAGAAGGCTGGGGAATCTAGAAAATGAGGTCAGCAAATCCTCCCCTTAAAATAACTATATAATGATATAAAACTGTCAAGAAGAACAATTTTAGGGCTTTGGGCACTAATGGCAAACAACATGTTAAGAAATGTTTCGTCATTAAAAACTGAACTTTAGGTACTAATTGCTGAAAGTCTGTGTCATTCTTGCCTGGTCTACTCCCATGACCTATCCCATATGATCCGGACAGTAGTACTGCCAGGATAAGGGTGCTTGTGTTTAAATATACACAGGAAACATGATGACAATGATTCAAATAAAGAGAATTGTAATAAAGACAGAGAAACTAGAACACTGAGAAAGACAATCAGAAAAATGAACAAAGCTTCGGAGACTGAAAGGATAACATTAATCATTTCAACATACATGTAATGGAAGCTTTGGAAGGAGAGGGGAATTCAAGGAACAGAAAAATATTTGAAGAAATAATGGCTGAGAACTTCCCCAATCAGAATAATCTATAGATGTGAGTTCATCAAATCTCAAGCTGGATAAACACAAAGTGATCCGTACATACACATGTAACACAAAAAGTGTTGAAAGCTAGAGTAAATGGGTGAGCAAACAAGCAAGTGAATGAATTTCAATAAATCTTGGTATGGACCAGAGAAAAAAAACTCATCATGCACATGAAAACAACATGATAAATTACTCACTACTCATCAGAAACAACAAAGGCTAAGGGCGGCAGAATGACATATTCAAAGTGATGGAAGAATAAAACCTGTTGATAAAGAATTATGTTTCCAGCAAAACTATCCTTTAAAACCAAAGGCAAATAAAGACATTTACAGAGAAAAACCAAGAAAATTCATTAAAAGCAAACATGCCTTACCAGAAATATTAAAGGGAATCTTTTAGACTGAAAGAAATTATCCTTGATTCCTCTTTGTTTCTCCCTGCACATTCAATGCATAAGCAAGCAAGGTCTATTGGCTTTATATACAAAATAAGCCTTGAATCCATATACTTTTTTTCCATCTTCCACTGCCATCATGGGAGCAAGAGCCTTGAATTTTCATTTCATACTATTCTCCTACTTGAAACCCTTTAATTGGTTCTCTATGTACTGAGAATGAAATCCATACTATTTGCCATGGCCAAATATACCTTATGAAAAAAAACTCCCTACCTGAACTTTTCTCCTATCATTCTCTCCTCTCTCTATAAGTTCCAGATCACTGCACTTTGTATTCTGTAAATGTCCCCAACTCCTTCCTGCTTCAGAATCGTTGTACTTATTATTCCCTCTGCCTAGTAAGTGTCACAGGCAAATCATCACACAAGGCTGGATTCTCCTCTCAAATGCCATTTCCTCAGATCATCCAATCTAAATTTACCCTACCCCCATGACTTGCCTCCTTTTGCCTTACAAAAATTTTCTAATGATAAATAGCATTTATCATTATCTGAAGTTATAATGTTCATTTATTTGATTTCATCTAATATATACCTCACTCAATAAATTATAAGGTTCATGAGGACAGAGAGAGATCTTACTATCTTGTTCATCAAATATACGTAACTTTAAACCTTATGCTAACATAAAAACAATTTTGAACTCTTGAAAGGTTTTTTAAAAGCCTTTTTCTTATTTAGTATTTTATAAATGTCATATCTTACAAATTCTACCAGTCTTCTTCAAAAGCTGAATAATCCTCCAACAGTATCTCAGGTACTGAAAAGAAAGCAGTATGCCATAACTACTCAGTGATAAACAATGAAACTCTTGAGGGTTGGGGCAGATAGGAAATCCTCTGGGGATTGGGTGCAAAGTCATCCCTCCATCCCCAATTACTATCTTCCTAGGTCTTAACAGCACTCTTGAATATGACACTGTGATCAACAGTGAATTCTTGAGAGCAAGGGAATACGTCCTTTTTATTCTGAATCCCATGTATCTAGCTAGCATTGCTAGACAGAAGGTGTTTAATTATTTTTCTGAAGCGAACAGCATATTTCTTCATTGATAAAAGGAAGGTAACAAGATTACCTACTTCAGAGGGTTATTGTGAGGCCAATAAAGAAAAAAAGAAGAAGAAGAAAGGGTAAGTGAAAGAAACAAGGAAAAACATCTCCATGAAGTACTTAATCTCAACTATTAGGTTAGAAAAGCACAGGAGAACTGATCAAATTACCACCTCTCCTATGAACTCTTCCCATTTATTCACCTACCTAGAAGCTAATAAGCTAATAATATCATAAGGTCATAATAATTTCATAAGCTAATAACATATTACATACTATTTCAGCACCAGACAGTAAAGATCCTCCCTTTCCCACAAAAAAAATTAGCTTATAAGGAACATGGAAACCTGAATAAGAAAGTTCTGATGTCACAAAAAACTAGGAAGAGGACTAACTACCAGAACACTGTGGGGAAATCTAACAGTGCAGAGTCACTGAGTATTTTAGAGCCTAGGGAGTATTCCATTAGCAGAGATTTCATTAAACATCAGTACTATTCCAGTAGCCCCAGTAGCTTCAGGTCCTACCCTCACATGTTCAAGAGAGGAGCTAACGAACTACAAATACAATCTTAAACTATTGTTGTGGTTTTAATTCCTGAAGGCCATCAAACCAAACATGAAAAGTATACCAACAAAAATTAATCCATGAAGCATTTAAAAAGGCTGTCATTTAAATTCATTTTTAAGAGTTCTATTAACTGCAACATAAATTAGAACTATTATCTTGGCTTTAATTCCTAACGTCTAGCAACCTAAATAGGAAAAATATGCATGCTATCAACAAAACTAAACCATCAAACATCTTAAGTAAAAGCCAGTAAGCTTCAAAAACACGCAACAGCCTCAGGTTGTGATTTCATTATTGATGAGATACAGGAAAGTATCTACATAGCTTGTAGCCAGTTCACCAACAGGGTTGTAATTGAATGTCAAATTTTATTTGCTAAAATTGAGTTATATTTAAAATAAATATTTACTCAAGAATAATATATTTGATATAGTGGAAAAGGCTATTACAAAAGAACTTTAATATTAGTTATTTTACTTACCAAAATGCAGTCCACTTTAGATTGTACAGTTTTGCTAAAAGAAAAAGAAAGTTATGTTAATAAAAATGATAAATTTATTAAATATTTGAAATAGTAAAATTCTTTTTTAACATTAGGCATAATACCCTAAAACTGCATCTTTCACAAAGCATAACATACATCTATTTCCCATTCACTGTACTAAATTCAGCCCTAAAACATGATCAAAATATCTTGAGTTCACTGCTACAGTCAACCTATTACTGTTACAATGTATCATTCTAACAGATGTTTTGAATAAACAATCAAGTTTTTAGAGACATACTAAAATGCAGATATGTATTATTATACATAGAAATAGGACAGAGAGTTTATAATGAATTATGATTTTTATTCAATGCCTGCCACTCTGGAAAATGACTTGTTTGGCATTTAAAAGCCATAATGGTGTAATATTATCTGTATTTCTAAAGACTTGTTATAAAGTAGATTCTCTTGTCCTCTTCTCCCTCCCATTCACACATATGTACGCTCGCTCATGCACAGGCACACAGCCTAGGGAAAGGAATCCGTAGACATAAAAGTAGTAATAAAGATTAACTACTATGGTAATAAATTGGAAGGGGATAATGTATTTAGAAATAAATAATCCATTAAAAAAATCAAATTAAAAAAAGAAATAAATAACCCAAATAAAGGCACTATACATCAATTTAACTGAGCCACTGAATAAGTGAATTATTAATACAGAATACAAATGAAGTCAGTATAAAATAATTTAACTGTCATCTGAATTTTGTTATAACACATTAAAGTTCAAATGCAATGAAATCACATATAAAGTTCAGAGATAGTTTATATCTTAAAAGATGTTACAAACAAAATTATCTCTCATAAAAGATTCTAGTCAAATAAATGTAAAAAAAATGGTTATTTGCCTCTTTATACAGCTATGCAGTTAATCTATAGAGTAAAAAATCAACATTTAAATTTCATTACAGTCAATGCAATCAATAACCTCAAAATTTTTCATTTGTATTGAGATTTCAAATTTCACGTTTTAAAGAACAAAGTATGACTTAATTAAGTTCAATTGCAAAAATCAGAATGACTAAAAAGAACAAGAAAAGCAAATGATACCTCCACTTAAGAGGAAATGAAATCCCCTTCCCACAATCCCACGGAAGACTTTTTAGAGGTTTTTAAATCTTTTGGGATTTGTATAGTTTATAACACATTAGCAGCTAAAGTGTGCTATTTTTTTTTCTCTTCTTAGTAACTCCCACAATTTCCCTGAGATAAGAGAGTAATCTACAGATTAAGAATTGCTCCTAAAAAATAAAGAATCCAAACACTGTTCACCACATTCTTCTAAACCCCCAACATTTCCTGTCTAAAGTGTTACTGTAACCTAAACGGTCTCCCTGCTTCTTTCCTTAACACCTCCCCCTCCTTGCCCCAACAACTCTGTGGGCTATTGTCAACAAAATGGCCAGAGTGATTTTTTGTCCAAACCACATTAGTCCTTCCCTCCAGTCTTGATCATGGCCAACAAAGCCCCGGATGACCCAGCCTTCAGCTAGCTTTCTAATCTCATCTCCTATTATTCCTCTGTTCCTCATTCATTCAGCTCCTGCCACACTATCCTCGGTGCTATTTTCTCAAGGCTGGTGCAGGGCCTTTGTACTGGTGTTTTCTGTCAGCTTCTAAGACTTTTCTCCCATATAGCTTATCTGTTCATTTTCTTCATAACTTTGCTAGATGTTATCATTTACAGATAGTTCTTCCCTGACTTTCCCAGATAAAATATTCTCCATCACTCTCCTCCTTGCTCTGTTTCACTTTTCATTATTGCACTTACCACCAGTCATTTTATATTTTTATTAATTTGTCACCGGCTATCTTCCTTGACTAGAATTTAACTCCATGAAAGCAGGCTTTATCTGTTTTGCCCCCTGGGGTATTATAATCTGGCACATGTTAGGTGTTCAATAAAATCTGTTAAATGAATAAATGACAAAAACATTCAGTCCCCCATATGAAGAAAACTCTTTGGAAAGATGGATCACTTAAAAAAGGGTTTGTAGAGAAATTAATATAAAATTGAAAATGTGTTCATTTTTAAAGCATCACTCTAGATATACTCCTCTTCTATCAGAAACCTGTTCTAGGGGATATCTGAAGAGGATGACTATGTCTTCTTATCACAAACAATTTGGTAAATCGCTAAAAATTATGTATAAAAGATAGCCTTTCAAAGAATAAACTTGAAAAGTAAAGTGAAAGTGCTTCTAAGCTAGATATGAACCTTGGCAATCACCTGACCTAGCCTTTTGATGATTTTTTACCTCATACTTAACACAAGCATAATAGAAGGATATAGATTTTTAGTCCCCTTTGATCTTCTGTCCAGTCTCATATCATACCTCACTACTTTCCCAAAGACAACTTATTAATCTGATGTGTAACTTTCCCAGTTGATATTTCAGTATTTGTATGAGATACACAAATATCTACAAGCAACATACACTGTTGTTCCAAGAAGCTTTTACATGTTTATATAAATGCCTTTACATTATATATATATATATATATATATATATTCTGCAACTATCTTTTTTCGTTCAATATTATTTTGAGATCTACAGTTTGATGAAATGCATTCATTTTTTATAATGTCTGAAAAGTATTTCAGTGGATGAATATATCAAATTTATTCATCCATTTCACATTTACTGAAAGCCAGTTATGTACTTTCCAGTTTTGCTACAATGTTGCAATAAACTTTGTACATGTCTCCTTGTGTACACATGTGAAAACCTCTCAGTTAGAAATTCAGAAGTTAATTTTCTGGGTCTCATGGATGTATCTATTCAGTTTTATTATATATTACCAAATTCTTCTCCCAAGCAGTAATATCCATTTATATTTCCATCAGCAATATATGATAATCCCTATTTTCCTATTAAATTGCACAAATAAATGCCATTTATACATGACATATAATACACATATTAAATACTTATTCTGAGGAATATAAATTCTTAAAATTTATCATTTCCCAATTTCTAGCAATACTGTGTACCTTTTCACCTGCTTACTGGCCATATAGGTTCTTTCCTCTGTAAATTGCTGGTTCATATTCTTTGCCCATTTTTAAGGGAGTTGACTATTTCTTATTAAATTGTTGTAGTTCTTTATACACTCTGGACACTAATTCTCTTTTACATATACTTAACTTTGTTAATGATGCATTTTAATGACATCTTACTAAAGTTAAAATTTTTGATTTAGTCAAATTTATCAATTTTTTTCCTTTATGATTATATTTTTTATCTTAAGACATCCTACCTAAAGTTTTTTTTAATGTTTGTTTGTTTATTTATTTATTTATTTATTTATTTATTTATTTATTCATTTAGAGCGCTTGCTCATGTGCACATATGAGCAGGGGAAGGGCAGAGAGAGAGGAAGAGAGAATGTGTAGAGCCTGATGTGAGGCTGAATCTCACGCTCGATCTCACAAACTGTGAGATCATGAAAGAGCTGAATGCTTAACTGACTGAGCCACCCAAGTGCCCCCTATGTAGTTTTAAAGACATATTTCATTCTAAAATTTTTGAAGTTTGCTTTTCAATTGTGATCTTTATTCAAATTAGAATTTATTCTTATGTATGGTATGGTATGTGTGTGTATATAAATATATATATACATACACACACACACACACACACACACACATACACACTCTTTTTGGCAAACCAACTGTACCCTATTTTATTATGCCAAGTTTTCACGTGTGCTTGAACCTACTTGTGGCTTTTTTTCTATTTTATTAATAATCTATGTGTCTATCTCTGAGTCACCACTCTAAGTTTATTAGTGCTTTAAAAATTAGGTCTAGTTATTCCATGACCCTCCTTGACCATATTCATAACAGCCTTGATAAGTCTTGGGCCTTAAAATACTCTAAGTGATTTTTTCGGTTTTTTCAGTTCCACAAAAATCTTGCTAAGATTTATACTGAGCTGTACTGAAGTTATAGATTGAAGTGGGAGAGCTAATTCATAATTTGGATTTATTTTTGTCTGTCTTAAAAAGTTCTTATAATTTTCCCTATATCTTTTGTTAGAAAAAGTCCTAGCTAGTTTACAGATGAATTATACTGTGTACCATGAATTATAACTTTTTTTTATTATGTTTTCTAATTGGTTCTTGCTAATGTACATGCTGATGTGCACAAAACTGTTAGTTCTATGCTGACCTTGTATCGAGAAACCTTCCTGAACTTATTAGCTGTAATAGCATGTAGAATCTCTTGTAGATAATTTCACTTACAATTAATGAAAATGTTTTTCTTCTTTTTCTGTCTACATGCTTCTTTTTCTCCTCCTTTCTCTTAAATAATTACATCGGCTAAAATCTCTAGTCTAATGGTGAAGAGTGCAGTGACAGCAGACATCCTTGTTCTGTTTCCAATTCTTATTTCAAAGTTTTAATATGATATACTGTGATATTCCATTTAGGGTATATTTTATACTTTCCTACAATATTCCTAAATATTTGATGCTTATTTGATTAAAAGAAAATAACGCTTCAATTTTCTAATGTCCTGCTTCAGATAATAACAAGGTAACTTCCCACATACAACAATGATATACTGTGGACCACATATAAAAACAAACATTAAAGTTAAAGAGAGTGACCAAAAGCAGGTGGCAACTGGAGGGAAGGCATCCTTAAAAGAAGGGAACTGCACTGGGTAGGATATGTATTTATAAGGCTGTTGCCTGAGGCCTCTTACCCCTCATGCAGCACTGAGCCCACAAGAATGAAGCAGAAACCTGCTGCCTTGCCAGCTGAGGAGCAGAGGCCAATATCTGGGATTGCCAGAGCTACTATAACATGAAAGATGAAATCCCAGAAAGGAAGGTGCCACAAAATTTTTATGTAAACAATGCCCAAATGTTTGGATAACCTCCTTCTGGGAAAGACAGCAAGGCTTCCAGAAAAAAAGTAACAGCTGGAAGGTGGAAAGACCTGAGCTGAGCCTTC